GTTCACTCCGCTGCCACCCTGGACCCTTCTGTGGGATGTGACACGACTGGACCTCATTCTGTGACCATGTGGCAGTATCTTCCCTCACTAGAGCCCTTCAAGGAGGCCTGGGGCTCTTGTTCCTGGCAGTCCCCAAGCCCTACTCCCTCCAGCTCCCTCTCTCCACCTGTGCTTCCTGCCAAAGGCCTGTCCTGTCCACAGAGTCCTCCTGCCACTGCACAGGCTGAGACCTGCAGCCCCTACTGGGCCTGGAAATGATCCCTTTCCCCTGAAACTCGGGAATATTCCTACTTAACCCTTACACTTGTTGCTTCCTGCTTTATGACTCCTGTGAACAGTTCTTCAAAATTGTAGCATGTAAGTGTGGCTGAAGAACGGGAGAAGGGTACAATCACAAAAGCATGAGTGGAACCTCCCTCCTCCTTCCCAGTGCCAGCTCAGGCCTTCCCACAACCACCCACCAGGTCCGTGTGGCCAGGAAGGCAGAAGTATGTCAGTACTGCATAGATGCATAGACAACATTTTTCAACTTCGCACACCAATGAGAGGGAACTCCTTGGGCATGTGGACCCTGGCGGGGAGCCTCAGAGCAGATATACAACACTTAGGTTACAGGAACCAGCAGCTTTCAGAGGGCGTTCGCCCTGCTACTAGGGTCTTGCTTCTCAAGACCCATTCTCCAGGAAGGTGACACCCCTGCAGGGCCGCCTGCCTATGGCACTGAGGGGCTCCTGCCCAGGCCCAAGGAGGCTCAGGTTTCCTCTTGTGCCCTCATCACGGAGGAAGCCAAGGGTCAACCCTCCCTGTGCCTGCGCAGACACCCACCCTGGGGAGTTAGACTACATTACTGCAGTATAACTTGCCGTAATCTCTGCAGCAAAGGAGCTTATGTGCTTCAGCTGGGGGGTTTCTTTCAGCTCACACACTGCACAGAGCCTCTGCCTGCCTCAGTGGGTCCTGCTATGCTTGCCAAACCCTTGAAAGACGGCCCCTTCTGTTCTGCTTGAAAGGAAAATGCACATACCAAATCTTGTCTAACTTGTTATAAACTCGATGGAAATGTAAAGATTTCAATGCCATGGATTGAATTACAGTAACTCATTTTGCATGGCTTCAAAAATGAAACTGAATGGCTTCAAAAAATCAAACTCTGAAGCAAAAGCTTCAGAGTTTGGTTTGATGTCCTGCAGGGGTGTGGGGGCAAGGGAAGGGGTGTACATCTTCACCGGAAACCATCAAGTCAACCAGGTTAGGGGCTGGTTTGTCATCAGTGCAGTGAAACCACTTAAGTGTCTTTTGTCAGATATTTCTTACTACGTTTAACTTACTATTCATTATACTTCAGTTACGAGGGTCGTCATTTCTTACTAATACAGACAAAAATGAAATGTCCTTTAAAGAGCATTCTAGCTACATTTCCTTTAAAACTGTAAGAGTAGTCAGTTATGCCTGACTACTTTTTAATGAGAAAATATAAGAAATTGATCAAATCACTTCATAGTGAAGTGTCTGGGCAAGATCTGTGAAGGCTTCAATGAAGCTGGCTTATCTGTAATGAATTTCTCTCCATCACAATTAAGTGGGCGATGCTCCTGGGCCGCCGCTGCCCCCTCCGCCTTGCCAGCTAGCCGTGACTCATCCCCACTGCTCACGCCACAGCCCTCTGCATGCCTCCACATGTGACCCCACTGGAGAAAAACGCTTCTAGTCAAGCCTCAAAGCCACCTTCAGATTCATTCATTCTGAATTAAGTTTGCATCAAGTTTTAGGCAAAAGCTCAGTTCTTGTTACAGAATGTCAGGGAAATTTCATGTACAGCCTCAAAAGGCCTGGGCACATCCCAAGGTCTGAAGCTAGAAACAAATCATTTCTAAAAGGGCACTTTCTCAGCTCACTGCAACCTCCACCTTCCCAGGTTCAAGCAACTCCTGACTCAGCCTCCTGAGTAGCTGGGATTACAGGCGCCCGCCACCACTCCCAGCTAATTTTTTCTTTTTTGCGTTATTAGTAAAGATGGGGGTTTCTCCATGTTGGTCAGGCTGATCTTGAACTCTTGACCTCAGGTGATCCGCCTGCCTTCACCTTCCAAAGTGCTGGGATTACAGGCTTGAGCTACCATGCCAGGTCTTTAAAAGTATAGTTTCAAATGATCCCATGAATGTTGTGAAGAAAGCATTTTGGACTTTTTTTTTTCTTTTTTTGAGACAGAGTCTCCCTCTGTCACCTAGGCTGGAGTGCAGCGGCGTAATCTCGGCTCACTGTAACCTCCACCTCACAGGTTCAAGCGATTTTCGTGCCTCAGCCTCCCAAGTAGCTGGGACCACAGGCATGTGCCACCACCCCCAGCTAATTTTTCATATTTTTAGTAGAGATGAGGTTTCACTATGTTGGCCAGGCTGGTCTTGAACTCCTGGCCTTAAGTGATTGACACACCCCAGCCTCCCAAAGTGCTGGGATTACAAGGGTGAGCCACCACACCCAGCCTGCAGTTTGTATTTTTCAGTGGATTCTGTTTGTTCCATGGTCAGTAACAGTGTAACTGCAGCACACAGGCTATCCATCTAAGGAAGCAGAGAAGGGAAAGCAAAGACCAGGCCCTGCCTCTGTGCTATGCTGCTCTCACTCCGGCGAGTTCCCCGTCAGGGGCTGCGGTAGGTACCATTTGATAGAAAGGTACACATTTCATACAATTTGGCATCTTGCTTTTTTTTCCATCCATTTAAAACACATTGGTACGGTGAGACTGCCCAGGAAGGCTGCCTTCTCTCCTGGAGTCGGGCGTTTCCCTCCTGCTGGCCATCTCCTGAGTCACAGGATGCAGTGAGCATCTTTCCACATCAGCCTTTTCATTCTTTGGGTCGTCCTCCTCCAGGGCTGAGGGACTGTGGGGTTTGGCCATTTCTCACATAACACTAAGTTGTCTGGCATTCCGTTTTATCTGGTCAACGTTGACATTTTTACCTACTAGCTAGTTCTAATAAAATCTTTTTAAAAATAAGCCTGAAAAGTGAACTGACCCTCAAGAAATACCATGAGAATATTGCACACAGTATCTTGGATAACTCATCCTGTGAAAATGGCAACTCCACAGACCCAACTCTGTGACTGCAAAGCTTGAGTCAGGGCAGAGTGAGACAGATTTATTGATGACTCAGGGAGCGAGAAGAGATGCATTCCAGACAGACGGCCTGTGTGGGAATAAGGTACCCTCCACTCACAGGAAGCTGGCAGTCATTCCCAGAGATGGGACGGGCAGGGTGAGGAGAGGAAGCCGCCAGCCTGAGATAAGAGCAGCTCTTTCCAGACTTGGCAAGGCGGCAGGAACTCTGGACAGGTGTGGACGTGACCAGAGGCACCAGGCCTCCCTCTGGGCAGCCAGGAGCAATTTCCTGGTGGAAAAAGTGTACACTTGCCAACAGATGGGAGTACGTTTTGATATTCAAAGACGGAATTACTGACCACCTTTACCTATGTTCTAGGCAAGTTTTGAAGATTGATATTATATTTTATATAATGTCATATAAAAATATATATATATATAAGATTTATTGTATTTGGCTTCGGTGCTACTTGGAAGGCATGACACATTGTTAGATCTGAAGAGACTGGCTGTGGGGTGGACTGGAGTCTGGGGGCCAGGGACACTGAATGAGCACTTTTGTAGGAGGATCAGGTGATTAAGGAAGACGCGGGGCATCTCGTGGTGGAAAGGGCAGCACCAGCGGGCTGGGAAACCTGAGAGAGGGCAGTGGGCTTGGGGAGAGCCGCTGTCAACAACGTGTGCCTTTGCGGCTTCCCCAGGGCTAGAGCAGCCCAAAGGTCTCAGGCTGCTTCCCATGCAGCCCCTGGGTAATGAGCAGTTGGGATAATGATTCATGCGCCTTCTTTAAAATTAGATTTGGGGATGGGCCTTTCTACCAAGAGGATGTGCCTTCCAGCAAGAACTCAGCAGCCCGGCTTCTCGAAGGTGGGTGTCAGCACACTCACCATTTGGGCCGCATCCTCAGGAGGAGGTGACATACATGTTCCATAAGCTTGGCAGGAGAGGAGGGCTCTGTGTATCCCCAGCTGGTTTCCCAGGGTCCACCAGGAGCTGCTGGGCAGCCTTGATGGCTCTGCCTTCCCTAAAGGATGCTAGTGTTCAACTTTACACCTGATCTGGGGCCCTGGATTAATGTCCTATGACACTATCTCTCCACCTTTGTCCTGAGCTGAGAGCTGCTGCAGTGGCCTTTCTGAGTTGCTACTATTGCAGCCAACTGCCCCGAATGGCTTTGGGAGGTGAGTTTGTCACAGAATGGCTCTGTTTCACCCCCGTGTCCCTTCCCTCTTCAACCACACAAGGGCCCTGTCCACACGGCTCCACCTGCTCGCCTTTCCTGGCCTTGTGTATCTGCCTTTCTTCTGCCTCCATGGCTGTCAGTTTCAAGTTAGAAGGAAGATATCCACAGGCCTCAGGATTTGGGAGAAAATGTGACGCGTGTGGACTTTCGTAGGTTTGGGACTAAAACACTGCCCATTGTCTTGAAACGAATTGTCCGAGAGGATGTTGAGTTGCCAGCTTTGAGGACAGCTGCTGTGCAAATTGAATCCATTTGCAGATTTTGGCATCAGAAACCCAATTCCTATTTGGGACAAGACCTCACTGTGTTGGGGCTCTGAATGGTGAGCAAGTAGCTGTTATGGCTATGTCAGAGTTATGCGAAGCTGCAGCTGCTTCAGCGAGCATGAAAACCAAATCCAAGCGTGCTGTAGCGATTCCGTGAGCCCTCAGTAGAATGTCCCTCTGCGGGAGGCTTGATGTTTGAATGTGGCTTCAGAAGAATTAACTAAACTGTATGTCCTGAAGTAGCAGAGCAGGCTTGGGCTTGGGGACAGAGTGAGAGACAGTGATTCTGTCATACTGTTAGGTATTTTCCTATATCCCACTATATATACCAGCCTGTATATAAAACCCATGAGAGATTAGGGTAAAGGGCAGTGAATACAAACAATAATACCTGGGTTAATTGTGAGCTGTGTGCTTGGCACCGTGGAAGGAGAAGGGGCCTGAGAAGGGGGCTGATCTGAGTTTGAGTCAGTGGGTGTTCTCCACGTTCAGTGACATCATACTGGTCGCTGAAATTGGCTGAGGTGGGAGTATTTACACCACAGGAAATGGCACACGCTTCAAAGCAGGCTTTTCTTTTTCTTAAGTTGGACTTACCAGCATAGCACTGGTTTGGGTCAACTCCACAGACAGTTGGCCAGGCCCTGTGCCAGTCTGCCTGCAGCTGTGTGACCCTGGAAAAGCTACTCACACATGCCAGAGATCAGCTTCCTCCTCTGTAATATGGACACAGTTACCAGTATCTCCCAGGACTGATGGCAGAACTGACAGAACCTGGCCCTCCTCCTGTCTCTTCATTTCAGTCTGCTGTCACCTCCCACACTGTCTCCCCACCTGGAAGCAGCAGCTGCTCAGAACTCCTTCCAGACCCACATCCCGTGAATCATCAGGTCCCACTAACCCTCCTGGATAAAGTCCTACGATCCCCTCCTACCCCTGCATCTCTTGACAAAGCTGCATTTACAGGGAATGCCCTGCCCATTTCCGGCTCCTCCAGTTCAGTTTCTTCCCTAAAAAAAGAAAAACAAACCTTATCTGGACTCTCTTGCCTAGACTGAACTGGTTCAGGCCCGACTTCCTGGCTTAACTGGGCTGAGGCTCTGCTTGACGGCCTCGCCTGTGTTTATGACCTCATTTGTGTTCCACGGTGCCGACCCCATTACCACAGCCCCAACCCAGCACTCTCATCTCCTGAAGAGGAAGCCAGGCAATCACTTCTTGGAAGCGATGCTTTGCCCCTGGGACTCCCTGTGCCTGGAATGCCCAGCCCTCACTGCCCTGGGCACACTTCCTGATTCAGTGGCGGTGTGACCTTCTCAGCTGAGCCTCTGTGGGCATGGTAGGCAGGGTTTTAGCCATGCCTCCCCACCCCCAGCCCAGGTCCCTTTCCACTTGCCGTGACTGGATCTCACTCCCAGCTGGGGACTGTGTCTCGACCTGCTGGGTGCCTGCTGCCCCACCAGGCTGGCCAAGCCCATGCACACCCAGCTTTGTGGCCCCCCAGGGGCCTGGTAGGTCATGGTGCACAGCCAAGATCAGTTACGCTTTACGTCGTCCTAGCCTCTCAGCTGGGTTATTTGCCAAAGGAAAATAACAGCTAAAACTGGATATTTCTATAAAGACTGCCTGGGACATCCAGTTTTTAGGTAAAAACAGTCAAATAGCTTTCAATGTAAGAACAAGAACCTGACTTCACAGATATGGAATGCTTTCGCTCTTGAATCATAAAGTTAACATTTCTGGAACCGTTACTAAGTGCCAGGCACTTCATGTCAGTTACTTCATTTCCTGCTTCCCCGTCCCTGTGAGATCAGTATTCTTGACCTCAGTTTACGGATGAGGAATGAAAGCCCAGGGCGTTCAGGTGACATGCCCAAGGTCACGGAGTCAAGGTTAGCCAAGATGGTCTTGATCTCCTGACCTTGTGATCTGCCCACCTCGGCCTCCCAAAGTGCTGGGATTACAGGCATGAGCCACTGCGCCCAGCCACCAGATTATTCCAAAATCCATGTTGGGGGGAGAGGGGGAAAGGCAGTTCCAGAGATATTTAATATCCTCAGTTGAGACTGCTTGCAGGATACCAGGAAATGGCAGCCCCTTGAGTGGGATGTTTTCAGAACCGTGGAACTGTAAAGCTCATAAATAGTTTGTTTACCTGTTTTACTTTTCTCTGCCTTTTAAAAGTTTGATTTTTTAAGATTCCATAAACCTATTCAATATAGATGCAGTAAAATCATTTTTCTTCAAAATATACAGTATTTGGAAAATTCTAGTTTCAGGAATTTTGGAGTAGCTCCTATCAGACGACTCCTCCCACAGACAGCAATTATAAACCATGGACAAAGTAGCAACCACAACAACAAAAAGAAACAACTACTTGAAGGCCCCGGAGAATAACGACGGGTAGAAACCAGAGAGAATCTGGTGCTTGATAAAAAAGAACTGCATTGGGTGAGATGCATGTTACTTACACAGCCCCTTCCTGGAGGGCACTTTCTAGGCCATAGCACTTGGGAGCTAGAACTCAGAAAGTTCCATTATCATTCGCTTGAGATCTCCTAAGATGGGGTTTAGATCTGCCAGAGTAGCTGGAAGTGGAGGAGGGAAATCCCAAAAAGAAGGGAGACTAAAGGGTGCAACTCCCAAGTCTACATATTAACTCCCTTCTCAGCCCCAACTGGGGAGACTCCAAGGAACTCGGAAGAAAGTAATCGCTGGAAAAAGTTAATCAGAGATTTCCCATTGCAAGAAAGTCAGAGTTTGGAGTTAGAATCCCACGAAGTTATAGGAGGCTTTATACCTTTGGATTTCCATTGAAACCCCAAGAGGGTTATATATTAAGAACAAAGACTAGGTCTTATATTTATCTGAGACCAATGGCAAAAACCAAACAGATCTTCCCTAATACAGTGTGAAAACCAAGCCTCCATAAAAATCAAGATGATTAGTTAGGGATAAAGTCAGGAATTTAACAAAAATCAATACTCTTCAGAGGAACATAACATAATCCAGAGCTTACACAACGGATCATCTATGACACCCAGAATTCCTTCTCAGTCAAGCCTTTCTTAGTGCCTTTTTTGGGCAGAGTTTTAGTCATAGCTTCTATCTTCCCTCCAGACTCTCTTTGCACCAAGCCCTGTAAATTGTAGCACTTCTTGCCAAGATCTGCTGGTTGACTGGCTGCCATGCAAGACTATTAACTATTTATTAGCAGACGTGGAGAAACGGGGAACTGTAACATATAGTGAAGAGAAAAATTAGGCAATAGAAGTAAACCTTAAGATTAACTAGGTGATCAAATTAGTAGATAAGAACTTCAAAACAGCTATTATAAAAACACTCAAGGACTTAAAGGAAAAATGGTCATAATGAGCCATAATGGGGAACCTTAATTGAGAAATAGAAAACAGAAAAAAGAAACCCTACATGGATATTCCAAAAAATACATCTAAAAGGAAGAATTCACTGGATGGACTCAACAACGTATAGAAACAGTTATAAGTTTTTTTTTTTTTAAGCATTAAATAAACAGCCTTTCAAGACTGATTAAGAATAAAAACAAAACAAGAATTGCCAATATAAGAAATGAGAAAGAAGATATTACCACAGATTCTGAAACTATTGAAGAAGTGGTAAGAGAATACTATGACTAATTATGTCAATGAATTCAATAACAGATGAAATGAACTTTTTTTTTTTTTTTTTTTTGGAGACTGAGTCTCACTCTGTCAACTAGGCTGGAGCACAGTGGTGTGATCTTGGCTCACTGCAACCTCCACCTCCTGGGTTCAAGCGATTCTCCTGCCTCAGCCTCCTGAGTAGCTGGGATTACAGGCACATGCCACCATGTCCAGCTAATTTTTGTATTTTTGTAGAGACAGGGTTCACCATGTTGTCAGGTCTGGTTTTGAACTCCTGACCTCGGGTAATCTGCCCACCTTGGCCTCCCAAACTGCTGGGTTTACAGACGTGAGCCACCATGCCCGGCCAAAATGGACATATTTCTTTAAAAACACCATTTACCAAAATTAACACAAAATGAAACAGATCATCTGAGTAACTCTATATATAATAGGAAATTTAGTTTGTGATTGAAAAAACATGCAGACAAGCATGACCGCAGCAGTGAGGGGAAAACACAGACAAACCTGACTACAGTAATGAGCCGGGCCCAGACAGCTTTCTTTACTGTGCATTTTACCAATATTGAATAAAGAAATAATACCAATCTCACAGAAATTCTGTTAGGAAATAGAGGAGGATAGGGGACTTCTCAATTAAGTTTTTAAGGTCAGTATAACCCCAATACCCAAAGCAAGGCATCACAGGAAAAGAAGATTCCATCCCAGGAAATAACCAATATCTCTTATGAACATAAACACGAAAATCCTTTTAAAAATATTCACAAATTGAATCCAGCAACATGTGGTGATGGTGCCAGGAATTTAAAGTCACTATGACATTCAAAGATCAGTCAATAGCATTTATCATGTTACTAGAATAAGTGGAAGATCATATAATCATCTTACATATGCAGAAAAATCACTTGAAAAAATTTACTACTCATCCATGTTACTAACTCAGTGCACTAGGAATAGAAGGGATTTTTAAAATTCTCATAAAGGAGATATATGTGTGTGTGTGCATGTGTGTGTGTGCGTGTGTGCCTGAGGGTTAACACTATTCTAGTGAAGTACTGAACACGTTACCCTCTCACTGGAAACAAGGCAAGGCTGTCCGTTCTCACCATTTGTATTCACCCTGGATGCCTGATGCGTGCCATGCAATGTCTGCTGACATGGGCTGGTCCCTGGACTCTTGCCATGGGCCCACGAGTCACTGTTATGTCCTTCTCTACTCCACTGCAAGGCCTCTCTGCAAGGGGTATCCTTCCTCAGTTTTGGTAGTGCCACTTGCCATGCTCAAGACACATATGTCCCCTTCTGGACCTCTTCTGTTTCACTGCTCCAACACTGCCAGGCATGGAAGTAAATCTGGGGTCTGGCTAATATCTGAAATCCTACCCATTCTCACTGCTCTTAGGTTCCCAGGAATCTGAGGAGTCAAGAGAGATGGCCCAGATATGAAAAGCCCATCCCCAAGCTCTCCCCCTCACTTCAAGAAGTCATTGTCTCCTCTCAAGATACTAGCTCTGACTTATCTTACTCTTTAGAAATTTAGAAGTCAACCACTTGACCATTTGTCATCTAACAACCATTCCTCCAAGTAATGGATGTCTCCTAAGCCAGCTGGGGGTGACAAGGGGTAGCAGGAAACAGTGAGGAAGGAGAAACATTTGTTTTCAAAACATGATCCTGCCACACTGTTCTGTGATAGGGAACTGCTTAAATAAAGCCTGGGGCAGGCAGACAGGTGAATGGGACAGTGCATTTCTGAGTGCATTCAGAAACAGGTCTGTACGTATGTGGACAGCAAAGGTGACGGAGGTGGCATGCAGACCTGTGGCAGAGGACTGAGTCTTCAACAAATGGTGGTGGTGTTATGGGATCTTTAGGGTGTTGCTTTCCTGGCTGGAAACCTGTGGCTAGTGATTCCTTTTGCCCAAGTTTTGCTCATGCCCACTGGGCTCATCCTGCCCACTTGGCCTGGCAGGCTGTGCTCAGTTCACGCTGCCAGCCCGGATCCCGTGCCTCCAAGGGAGACTGTGAATCAGGCGTGGAGTGGCGAAGGGTGTGTGAGCAGGCATGGTGTCTGGCCACTGTGCAGTCAGATACGCTGACTGCTGCCACAAGGTGGGCAGCTCCAGACGCCAGCATGGGTGCTGGCTCTCTGTGAGCCTGTGGCTGGACCAGAAGCACTGCAAGCAGCTTCCCAGCTGGCACTGGGGAATGCGGTGGTGCCCAGAAGACTGGAGACATCAGGAACTGCAGGGCCCCAAAGAGGGAGTCACAGCCCTGGCTCAGGGGGCTCCCGATCTGGGCTCCTCAAAGGGCTGCAGCTCTTCTCTCCTTTTCTTTACCTGCAACGTGGCAGG